CCATCCTAATGGGTATGATGTGGTAATATCTCATTATGCCTACTTCATAATGATTCAATCTCATTTGTTAGGTATCAGAACTTGGATTCAGTATTTAGGAGACAAAGGTGAATACATCAGGATTGCTGTGCTCAAGGATTGAGAACACCCACCGAAAATTGGTTGTAATTATAACCTGATGTCTATATTCACATTTCTATTTTTTTTTTTAAGATTTTATCCATCCACTTGTCAGAGAGAAAGAGAAAGAGCACAAGCAGCGGGAGCAGGCAGAGGGAGAGGCGGGCTCCCCACTGAGCAGGGAGCCTGACATGAGACTTGATCCCAGGACCCTGGGATCATGACCTGAGCTGAAGGCAGACGCTTAACCGACGGAGCCACCCAGGCGTCTCTCACATTTCTACTATTAATACTAAACTATTACATTTGTGTATAGTATTCTTTGGCATTTAAGTTTCATAGAAGTCCTCTGAAAGACAAAGTATGTGTGATAAGGAAAGAAAAGCTCAGGGAAGGTAAGCCACTGAGGAAAGGTAGTATGCCATATCATCAAGCACTGTGGGTGCCCAAAAGGGGAGCGATGAATTCTGCCAAGGAGAACATTGACCTACATAAGAGATAATGTGCAGGCCTGACTACAGGCCAAGCCAGAGTCCTCCGAACAGACAAGGGACGTGAAGGGACAGCACAGTAAAAATACAGAGGCGCTAAAGGATGTGTGGTCTTTAAGAGACAGCCCAATGTGATGATGGGCCATTGCTGGGCATGACAGCAGAGCAAGGCAGATCGGCAGAACAGACTCAGACTGGAAGGGGCTTTGAACTGCCACATGACGATCCGTCTGTCAGCGGGACTACCCAGGCTCAAATATGAAGTCAAAAGGAGACGAAATGTGAGATTATGTTGTACAATTTCTAGAACTGAACGACTGTTCTAGCTATTGTTTGGGAGAGAGCAGTAGCTGGGGACACTGCTCTGTTCGGGGCACAGGAGCAACGTCTCCTTCTGCCACGCCCGGGGGTTTGTGTAAAACTTTCCAACCACTGGTTTTATGACACAATGACTCCAATAACTAGTCTCCTGGGCACAACGAAATGGCCTCTGGGAACACCAAAGGCCAAACGTCTTCCTTCACCACACAGAAGAAAGCGCCACAAAAGGACTGTCTTCCTTTAAGGGGATCACAGGGCCATCTGGCCTCAGACAGATGTAAACCCATTCATATGAGCTTTTCTCAGAGGAAATTACATGGGCTTTGTTTTTATAATATTGCAAATTAACTTGATAGCAACCACTGCCACAAAAAACACGCCTCCTCATGCCCAGCTGAAGTGGTTTTCCCTGAGGTTTAAATCCAATTCCTCTCATTTATTTTCTATGAAGATGGAGGGCATTTGGCTAACAGGTTCTCATAAGCCAGCCTAGAATAAAAGACTCTTATTAGATTAGCAAGCCTTTTCTTCTCTGGACTATTGAATCCCCTGAGGCTATTTATTAGAACATTAATAGCAACTTTGGTTGCCATCTGGGGGAACTCTACTGTCCGGATCGGGAGGGAAAAAGAGTAGGGGAAGAGGACACATCTGATGGAAAATTTAGCCTCCATTCGAGGGGGAAAAGTTACTGAATTTAAAAAAGTAAACAGAGAAACATGAATGTTATTAGCCACATTATTCATAATGGCCTCAGTAGAAACAACCTGACCGTCCACCAGCTGGTGAATAAACAAAATGCAATGTGCCCATATAATGGAGTACCTTTTGGCAAGCAAAGAGGACAAATTACTGATACATGCTCCAGCATGGATGAACTGCAAAAACATTACGAGAAGTTGACAGAAGCCAGACACACGAGACCATCTACTGTATGATTCCGTTACATGAAACGTCCAGAAAAGGCAAATCCACAGAGACAGAAAGTCTTTCTTCTAGACCAGGTCTAGAATCACACCAAAGGACTTAGAACTGTCGTGGTTGCCTAGGGCTGGGAGATAGCTGGTGACGGGAACTAACACTTGATGCCACCAGGAGACTCAGTGGGGTAATGGAAATGTTCTCAAGCTGATTTATGGGGATGGTTGCACAACTTGGCAAATTTACTCAAAAAATCATTGAATCGTAGGCTTGAAATGGGTGAGCAATAGGATATGTAAAAAATGCCCTAAGAACCCATATATATGTATAAAGTAAATGTATAAAGAAGCCCATATACATATATGGTCAACAGTGACAGTTTGAAGTAAAAAGGATACTGACGAGCTGTTCTAGTCTCAGTCCTGCAACTAACCAGCTGTGTAGCCTTGAGCACATCACTTCTCTCAGGCTGGCCACCTTCTGCAAAATAAGGAAGGTGGGCAGTTGGACGCGAAAGGTCCTTTAGCTCTAGAATTCGGGGAGTCTAGATCCTCACATGCTCTGAAATGGTAGCAGCAGCATCATTCTTGCCTTACGTTTCTTTTCCTTCTCAGGCCCAAGTGTTTTCATGCTATATGTTGATTTAATTTAACCTTCCTTTTTCTTGGGTCTGGTTCCACCACTTTTAAGGACATATTTACCCTTATCACCGCTTTGACATATTGTCTGGTTTTCACAAGTATTCCTGGTGGCACCCTATGCTCCTCCAAACAGAATGCCAAGGTGGGGGTGCTAAACCCAGAAGGACATACAGCTCCCACTTGCAGCAAAGTCTTTCTGTCAAGGGGGGCTTTCACCCAACTGCGCCATGATCTGGAGCAGACCTTCCTAATTTATTGATGAGGATGTCATGTTGGATGAAATCAAAAGCCTTTCTAGAGCCCATATAGATAATATCTATTTCTTCTTCTTTATCATCTTGGACCGTCACTCTGTCATAGGAGGAAATTAAATTGTCTGACACAATTTGCTCTTTACAAAGCTCTGTTCTTTACTTCCTTATGCTCATGGAGGAGGCCAGTGATTGCTCACTTGTGCTTATAAAAAAAAAAAAAAGGTTAAGCTTTAACTCATGCAGCCTCCTTTCTGTTCCTTCTAAGCATCTCCTAGGTATACCTGCATGGAGGAGCCAAAAACAAAGCGTATTTCTCACCCTTAAGTGGAGATTTCTAATGTAACAACACTCGGAGAGAGAAAATACTGTAATGTATTGAATGGAGGAGCTAAGCCAGACTGAGACATGGACAGGGAAATGGTCAGACACATAGGACCACCAAACATTTAGGACAACTCGTATGACTGCATAGAGTGAAGGTTATAGCCTTTTTCTGTTAATTGCCTCACATAAGTTCTGGATAGATTTCACATAACAAATCCTGATTAACTGAGATTGCAATTAACAGTTCTTTTCACATGAACTACGAAATACAATATTACAAATCAAACCTGAACTGGAAATTTAAAGGATAGAAGACTTCACTGTTGGTTAGTGTTCACCTCTGCCACTGTAGACAGAAAGCTGGTTTAAGGACTGACAGATGGACTGCAGTCAGTCCTTAGAGTGACCACTGTTAATCTGTAGGATACCCCACATCTGATTCAAAAGCGATCCTCTGAATCTTTATTCTTGTCTGCTCTGTCTGCCTCTTGCTGATGCCCTGCCTCAGTCCTACTAGTGATACACTATTTGTCTTTACAAATGAGAGAGACTGGTTTCTAACTCCTCAGCTATATATAGTTTAGCACGAGCTCATTGCCTTTTTTATCAATAACATTGCAAAACAGACCATCACCTGATAAAATTTAGATAGGTGGTTATTCTTTTCATTATGTAAAATAATTTTGAAAACTGTCATGATTTTCCCCCTTTCAGCCTTCCAACGGGTACTTAGTTCTTCTGGCATTTACCACATCCTTTGTTTTACTATTAGGCAGGAAAAGTGTGTGTGTACTTTAGCACTTTGACAATCCAGCATTTTCGGCTATTGTAAACTTCTGTAGATCTTTTATTACTGTTTCACATTATGTGGAATGAATGCGTCTCTTTATCCTGAGTTCTTTCCTGTCTGCCTGGTTCTTGGTATTCGTTCCAGCTTTAAATCCTGAGTGCCAACAATAACAAGCATCTTTGCTTGCCCCTTCCTGTTGGAGAAGGTAGGGTGCTAGAGCGTGCAGATTTTCTGCTCATGCTGAGAGTCGGGACAGGGCACTTTCATGGCTTAGGTGACTGCGGGTAAACAGAGAAATCTTTCTGTGTGGGATAAGATGAACTTTTGTCTTTGGTTGTACAAGCTGCCCTGAAAGTTTGGGACCAATCATGCTGCGAAGTAAAAAATATTTACTATCTGGCTCTTTACAGAAAAAGTCTGCTGACTCCTGAAATATGGCTTGGCCACCAGTGCGTATGCGTACTGTGGTGGGGATGCGCGTTGATGAAATATTAAGCTGAGTCTATCAGGAGATGCATTTAGAAGTGATGGGACTTGCCACCAGTAAGGGGTAAGAGGCAGAAAACGTGGTGCCTAGTCCAGCCAGCAACAGGAGTGAGCTGCGTCCTGAAGTATTCGAGGACTCTGTCTTAGAGGTACATCAGAGACTGCTGGTGGGGCAGGATGTGGCTCTGCTCAGGAACACGGCGCTGAGCGAGGGCACAATGAATAGGCGTGCTGTTTACGGACATTCTGAGACATGGTTAGAACTGGAAAAATGACTGTGTTATAATGACTTTGGTTTAGCCAGCGTTGTTTCTTAATCCCATTAAGGATACTTCAATCCCTTCTGGAGTGCTGGCAAAAAGTCTAGTATTTAAAACTGAATTAATGAATATAAAAAATGTCGAGACACCACTGTTTTAAACTATTGTCTCAGCCTTCAACTCTGACTCGTCTGGACATCCGACCAATCCAAATTCGTCCGACGCCGAGAGTTCAGGATACATTCGTAAAAAAATAAAGAAGCTAAATTCAATGCAAAGATGAAAAAGTTCCTTTTTCTTTTTCAGAGAGATAAGACCTCTCCAAAGAAATGATCCTAAACTAGTGAACTACGCCATGTTTTGGATGGTGGACGCCATGTTTCTGTCAGACCTTACTTGTCACTAGATCCGCTGAGAGTCTGAAGGGACATGTCAGGTTGTCAGCAGAAGCTGAGGAGACAGTGCATTTTTTAGGGACAAACTAAGCCAAGACCATTACGAAGTCTTTATAGACCAGCCAAGAATGTACATGGGAAGAAAGAGTAAGGGAATGTGGAGAGATCTTCAGGTGTTTTCCCCATCCCCCAAATCCCGACACAGCCTCATTAGACTTGGGGGAAGACAGAGAGGCTGAGGACAACTGTCTGCGCTGCAAAAATTTACAGCTGCTGGAAGAGCCACAGGAACACCCCGCCCTTTCTCGTTCTCACCCTTCCTCCCCGACCCCTCATTAAGCATTGAGTTCAGCAAGATAAGCTACTCCGAGAGAAACAAACTGTGGCATTACTGAACTTCTTGTGTTTCCCATGGAACATTCCCCAGCTAAATGACTTAAAGAGACTGAGAAAACAAGCCTAGTCTGGGAGTTAAGTGGGTATGTGCCCGGGGCGTGGCAACAATTGCATAATTCGCCTTCTCAAAACAAAGCAAATCTTCACAGGCGCAGACATGCAGATACATTGGAGACGAGAAAGGATAGAAAGACAGACAAAGACAGAAGGAGGAAAGAGGGAAAAAGAAAGGAAGGAGAAAGGAAAGAAGGAGAGAAAGGAAGGTCCTATGCATTAGTCCCTAATTCTCCGGGCTATTTTCTCTACCTTCCAGTATGTTGAGGATCAAAAGAAAAGTGCTGGAAAGACCATCTCATGGTCTCGAGTGAAAGCCAAGTCACACTCCACAAAGAAGTGACAAACACTCATGGTTGTAAGTGATGTGTGAGCCAGTGGAAGCCGTCCATGCGGAAATGTGATTGGCCAACTTGGCTGCCGAGGCTCGCTGTATCCTCTAGTTCAGAGTGAGTCAACCCGGCTAACTGGGGGTGATTTTAATCCTTGTACTCTCCCTTCCCCGCTTCCAAATCTTCCCATCCTTAAGAGTGCCAGAGAAACGACGGGGGTCATCAGTCACCAACAGACAGAATGGGTGTCCTAACATTCCTGGAATTGCTAGCGATGACGCTTTGACACCTGAAAAGGGAGGGCAACCTCCATAGATAGTATTTCTAACGTTGATGGAAAATCCTGATGAGCCCAAAGTCTAAGATGCTCTAAGTTTCCTCCTCGGTTCCTGTTTCATGTCCCATTTCCCCCACCTCCTGTCCTTATTTGTCTATCCCTGCCATATTCCTTCCTGTCACCAAGTTCGTATTTATAGAATCTTCATTTAAAATTACTTGCCTGGCTTCTAGAGCCAAGAAGGGAAGATGCGACAGCATAAAGCTCACAGAGAGACTGGTAGTAGTACAAGTAAAAAGTGCTTCTATTTTCCCAACTTGTGTGGTTATAGCCAATAATTTACTTCTCCTTTCTCCTAAATCTTCATTACACTTTCTAGAGTACGACTGCAGTGGTACATGATTATTTCATAGACAAGGGAAGATGATCCGCGCGCTGCAAGCCAGCCAAGAACAGGGGAGTGGACACTACAGAGAGAAGAAGATTGCTTCACTTCATCAGGTGGCAGGATGGTTCATCTTAGAGGTCACAGAATGAGTCATTAGGATCGTGAGTGTGCTCTGGGTAAGGAGAAAAAGAAGCCCTGTCCTGGTTTCTGTCATCAAGCTATAATATCTTTGCAAAGTATCTTTTCCCAGCAGTCCATAGAGAACCGGGACTTCTGGAGCCAGCCAGGATGGAAAAAGCCCAGCCCATCTCTCCTTCCGATTACAGTTAAAAACGCTAATCAAAATACAAAAGGCAACCACCTCTGGACAAAATGCCGAAGCAGGAGGATTGGTGAAGAGAGCCAAAACTAAAGAACAATCAGTAAGGCAGGATAATCACGGAGGACCTGAGGCAGTAGGACACCATCACTGAACTGTTGAAAGGGAAGAACTCTCAAGTCAATTCTATTCACAACAAATATATCCTTTAGGAATGAATGCAAAATAAAGTCACTCTCAGATAAGACAATAACAAGATCACAATCCTAAGTCTGTACCCCAGTGAAACGAAAGCCTAGATTTACACAAAAATCTATACAGGAATATTCATAGTTTGTATTCGTCGTTGCCCCAAATTGGAAACAAACCAAAATGCTCCTCAGCTAGAGACTGGATACACCAAGAATGGGGTGTCCATACAATGGAATGCCACTCAGCAAGAAAAGGGAACACATTATTGATACGTGCAACAACATGGCCGAATCTCAGATGCATTATGCCAAGTGAAAGAAGCCAAACTCAGAAAGATATACACTATCTGATTTCATTTATATGGCATCTAGAAAAGGCAAAGCTAGAGAGGGAGTGATTGCTGGGGGTTAAGGGTAGGGCAAGGATTTGACTACAAAGGGATGGCTACACGGGATGCTTTTTTGCAACTGTTTTGTATCTTGAATGGAGTGGTATTTACATGCTTCAGTGCATTTATGAACACTCGTAAAACTGTCACCGAAAGAGTAAACTTTACTGTCAATTTTATATGTAAAAAAAAAAAACACACCACATTAAAAATCAAGAACTTGAAATCTTGATACATTTTTCCTAAGGAAACTTTCTGGCAGTTCAGTTATCTGCCTGTACTTACATATTCATAAATGGCGAACAGTCAAGCTTTAATTGAAACCTTGTCATAAAAGGTTACTTGAAAATAAAATCTACTTGGTCCTCACATATTTTGGGGGAAGTCCAGAAGCCTTCAGGATAGAATAGTACCACCCCTGTCATCAATGAATGAATTTTGACATAAAGATTTAAGTTCTTGCCAGTTACAGAAGCCTTTCCAATTCTATATAACAAACATGGTTTTATGGTTGCAATATTTATTTCTGACCTGGTGTTTAAAATAACTAGATACCATCATAATTGTTGCAACACACACACACACACACACACACACACAATTATATTACTACTACTACTACTACAGGGGAAAAACCAGATCATGAAATTAAACCTGGGCTCGGTCTTGCGTCCGCTAATAGTCACCTGCCAACTCTTCTAATGCCATACTGATTTATGCTCTGTGGAGACCAGCAGAGTAAAGATGTTTGCGTGCTAGAGATGACGTTTTAACGTACCCTGTCAAAGAGTGCGAAGAGTTGTCTCAGGACATCTGAAACAGGCAGCTTCAAATACTCCGCAAATTCTTCAATTCCGATTCTCCCTCCTTTTGAAGAGCTTGCAATTATTGCATATTCATCCAACTGCTTACGAATACCATCCCAGTCTAACCTAAACAAAGAAACATAAATACGTGTTGTCAGCCCTTTACAATCCACATGGACATTTTGTGAACGGTGTTTTATTCATTTGTCTGAGGGAACAATATTTTAAGTGTTACATCTGAAAATAAGAATAAAATGGGTATTTTAGAGTACTTATGGAATGTGTACACAGGCTTCTGACTTTTTTGAAGGATATTAATAAGACTGTAATTTTCCCAAATACCTGAGGAAGAGAAAAGTAACTGAGAAGAGGAGCAATGTGACAGAATAAGAAATGACTCATGAAAAGAAAATAAGGGGCGCCTGGGTGGCTCAGTCGTTAAGCATCTGCCTTCGGCTCAGGTCATGATCCCAGCGTCCTGGGATCGAGCCCCGCATCGGGCTCCCTGCTCGGTGGGGAGTCTGCTTCTCCCTCTCCTACCCCCCCGCTTGTGTTCCCCCTCTAGCTCTCTCTCTCTCTGTCAAATAAATAAATAAAATCTTTAAAAAAAAAAAAAGAAAAGAAGAAATCATATTTTAATCTAAATATTACTTAGTAAGTCAATAGTACTTACTGGGTTGTTAAAAAAAATACGCAATTCTTGCTTTCAACAGAGTTTCCAGGCTGATGATGAACTCACATTGTACAAAATGTTGTGATAGGGAGATTCATTAGACAATACACACTTCCTCCAATATTAGTTATGAAACATTAAAACACCAAAACACCAGAAAATGTACCATAGCCCGCATCACATCCTGTCTTTGTCTTGTCCAATTAAACAGGTGACCTAACACATACTGCTTTCTTCTGTATCCAATTTCAGTAACTATCTAAACTTTTCAAATTTATATGAATATTGTGAATATAATATTAAAACATGTTTGTTACTTAGAAGATATGAATCATATTTGTACTATCAGTTATCAAAATATTACCTTCAAATATTGACCTTTAATACATAACTAGTTCTGCAGCTCTCTCCTTGGGAGGATGCCAAAGCCTACTGAATCAATATATTCTGCAAATCCCCAATGGGGCTGAAAACAGAATGAACGGTAATAAGAAGGGAATCGGGGGTGATACCTTTCACAGCAGATGGTTCTAAGGGGTTGTTCATAAAAGCACAAAGGGGGGGTTTTGCCCTAAAAAAATTATGTACCCTAAAGAGAAAGGAGATCTAGGGTAAGTATTTAAAATTCAGTGGTAGTCAGAATTGCTTCTCTACATGTCAATTCAGATTTCACAAGAGAAGGTCTGACCCCCACATGGTAGTACCATCTAATTATGTCATCTTTCTAGCAAGAGGGCAGCAGGACAGACCGACTGCTCTGAGACACTTCTGAGAGAGGCAGATCTGTGCTGCTCCACATTGACTATTTCTCGGGCTCCTCCTGTGATCAATACGCATACTTCCAAGTTAACCATTCTTGAAAAAACACAACTAGGTGAACTAAATAGGAGATGCATTCACAGCCCTGGCCTCCTTAATAAACACCACGTGGGTTCTAGAGCTGGGCATTAATGAAACCAGAGAAAAGAAACATATAAGATGTCAGATCTCTGGGGGACACCCTTATGAAAGTGTAGCAATTATTTTTAAATTTTTTATTGTTATGTTAATCACCATACATTACATCATTTGATGTAGTGTTCCATGATTCATTGTTTGCGTATAACACCCAGTGCTCCATGCAGAACGTGCTCTCTTTAATACCCACCACCAGGATAACCCATCCTCCCACCCCCTGCCCCTCTAGAACCCTCAGTTTGTTTTTCAGAGTCCATCGTCTCTCATGGTTCATGTCCCCCTCCGATGAGAAAGTGTAGCAATTTAAAAATATACTTACTTCAATTTCCGGCTAATTTTGGTAAATTCCACCAACCCAGCTTCCATAGGCAATGTTAGCTGTCCTGCTGAAATCATTAATCTGCAGTCTTCATAGGTATGATCTGTTATGGGGATTCCCAAAGCTCTAAAAGGCATTTAAAAGCAACCAAATTCAATTTTTTTTTTTCTTTAAAGGTAATGATTTTTTCATCAGCCCTGAACTGGTCAACAAACAACAGTAAATGGGAAAGTATTTACTACATTTCAAACCAGTAGCTTAGGCTTATTATTGCCAAAGAGACATATTTCTCCTCTGCACAGACTTCCTGTGGCCGAATCTGCATGCTTCGGTCAGCTGGTCGTTTTGTTTGGTGTTTTACCTGTGACCGTGATACTAGCAGAGTTCAGTATCCGGGGAAAGCAAGAAGCCTTGAGTTTCATCCCAGTGGAGTGTCTTACCAGCTGTGGACCTTTTGGCTCTTAACCTAAGCTTCACTTTTGTCATCTGTACACAGGAATAATTACCTACTGCACAGCGTTCTTTATTGTGAAGATAAACTAAAAAGGCCCGTGAAGTGCCATTTACACAGATAAATGGCCTCTGTATATAGTGTAAGGGGACAATCTAGCCAAATCGCTTGCCATCTGCGTTTTTCATCTCTCAAAACTAGACATCACTTCTTGCTACCTAACAGTCTTCTGAAAACACGAAAGAGAATGGAGAATGAGCTCATTATTTCTTCCAAACCTAAACGTCCTCCATCCTCAAAGGAGCGCAGGACCCCTACGAGATCCCACCTGCTCAGAGGTCTAATAACGGACTAGAGCTGAAAAAAATAGATATTAATAACAACTTCAAAAGACACTGAGTGCTGAGAAAAAAGCCTGTGCGGTACATAAGATAATTTCTTGAAGGTTCCTCTTCACAAAACTTTTATTCACAGTTATTCAGTGAGAATCATAAAGTTCTGTCTTCAACTGTATTTGATTTTGTTGAATCACTGCTAAGAACATTACATTTTCAACAGATGCAATGAGAATAAAAAAGTTTTTCTATCTACAACTAGGCTGTTTTTTTTTTTTTTTAAAGATTTTATTTATTTATTTGACAGAGAGAGAGAGATAGCGAGGGCAGGAACACAAGCAGGGGGAGTGGGAGAGGGAGAAGCAGGCTTCCCGCAGAGCAGGGAGCCCGATGCGGGGCTCGATTCCAGGACCCTGGGATCACGACCTGAGCCGAAGGCAGACGCCCAACGACTGAGCCACCCAGGCGCCCCGGCTGTTTTTGATTAATAAATACTTTGGTGTAAGAGTATTTTTATTTGGGAAAATAAAAATTTTAAATATTTCAGGAATTTATAATTTATAATTCTAGACAGTAGAGATGCCTGTTAAGAGCTTGGGCTTGGGTCACAGGAAATGTGGATTTGAGTCCCAGCCCAGACCCTCACTATCTGCTATGATCTTGGGCAAACCATCTCTCTCTCTGAATCTCACTTTCCTGGCTTGGCTCCAAGAATTGCTATGAGGATTATGTTAGATAACCCGAGTAAACGGGAAAATCAAGTACATGTAAGTACACATAGTAGAAACTTTTTTGAGCATTTGAACACTTATGCTGTTGTGAAAATAAAGTTATTCTGCTGTGAAATATGAATCTAAGTATGTATAATCTTGCTTATAATACCAAAAGCAGCTATGCAGCTAGATTCAGATTTCTCATTTGAATTTTTACTAGGAGTACATATTGCTGGCCCATCAACGCCAAGCTTACTACGGGAATGACAGAGGGGGTGGTGCCTGGCGTGGGGTGCACACTGGGAAGGCTCTAGGGCTGCCTGGGTGGTAGGACAGTATCACAAACATTTGTCCGTTATGGGACGAGAGGTGATTTATCTCATCAGAGTCATGGCCAGTTAAAACTCCTTTAAGAGCAGGAAAATATTTGCTTTATGTTTACAATTTACAAATCTTAAATTTCTAGCCATCCCTTAATGGGGGTGACTTCCCCCCTTTTCTGTGCATCTATTGCCTTCCCTTGCAAACTTTCTCCTCTGTGTGGCTATAATCATTAATGCCTTTGAATCAGCTGACATTGCAGCTCCGTGGAGGCTGGGGCACGAAAGGCGAGCCCCGAATGGCCCAGACACAAGGCTCTGTGTCAGTGAGAGACCAGCTGAGGAGAACCTACCGAACCTACCCTCTGGAAGTCATGGGCTGGTCTCTTCTGCTTACTGAAGCCTCCCTGCTCTGCTTCCGGCGAAACCCCATTTCCATTAGTTTGGGGCTGCATCTGGGGAAAATATTTATGGATTGTCTTACTGACCACCTTCCCGGGCACATTATTTTACTTACCAAAATGAGTTAGGGAATGAGGCCCTAAGGATGAAACCAAGCAAAATAAAACAAAACACCCAAATCCTAAAACTGTGCGACATGCCGTTGACCCATCATTTAAAAACTATTTACTGATCGGGATCACATACAGACACTTACTCTGCCATCAAATTCCGGACTCTACCAGCAAAAAGGACAGGGTCGCTTTTTTCTTCATCATTTGGTTTCTGAACAGGCATAAACTGAAAGACAGACATACCTTTCCATCACAACTGTTGGGCCTAAGACGTTACATGTTACATATATTAATTTATAACCTATCTATCATTATATTAAATCCCCCACTGCCTTTCCAGCACAAAGGTTATATGCTATCGTGGAAAGAACACTGCTTGGACTCAGGGGATCTGCAGCCAAGCCCTGGGTCTTTCTGTGTGTTCACGAGGATGTCCCTAAAGTTTTCTTCACTGCAGCCTGGACTCTGACAAGAGGGCAATGATCACCCACTTCCCTGGTTGTGATGAGGATGAACTGAGCCAGGGCCTGGAATTCTGGAAGTTGTAAAGCTGGAGGTATGAAGATCTTCTCCTCCACACTGCATTTCCTACTGCTTCCAGCACTTTGTGTGAAAATGTTAGTATTGGTAGTAGCTTATCTCTTATGGTTTATCTTCTCTACCCACTCTTGTGTCAGCCGCATTTTATCATTTGTTCAAATGTCACGTTTTGTTATTTCTTCTTTTTTTTTTTTTTTTTTTTTAAAGATTTTATTTTATTTATTTGAGAGAGAGAGTGAGACAGAGAGCACGAGAGGGGGTAGGGTCAGAGGGAGAAGCACACTCCCCGCCGAGCAGGGAGCCCGATGCGGGACTCGATCCCGGGACTCCAGGATCATGATCTGAGCCGAAGGCAGTCGCTTAACCAACTGAGCCACCCAGGCGCCCTCTTCTGCTTTCTTCTAACCCTTAGTATTGGCTGTCTAGCTTTTGCCGAACACTGTTGTTTTGCTTTATCATCTTAAATTTTATTTTATTTTTCTCTACTTGGTATTCAGTGGTGCCTTGTTTTATTTACAGTTTTCGAACATTAATGAGATTTTGGTGCTATATTTAAGTCATTACATCGTTTTTGAGCACCTACCATATCCCACGCAAGATTAACAGGACTCTTCCTGCCCCAGAAAAGATTCATATTTTAATGGGATAGACCAACACAGCATGTGCTAAGTGTCATTACCCTCAATGACAGGGCTTAAAAGCTTCATTAAGTTAGTTTAGAGTTATACAGGTCACACGGCCAGGACTCAGCCCAAGTTCTGTCAGATCCTAAAACCCTTGTTTTCCCCACTAAACCATCCTTCCTGGAGTATGAGAGCGAGGGATAAGAAATTATTAATCTGGCCAGGGGGGCAGGGAAAAGCAGCCAAAGAGGCTTTACAGAAGAGCTAATACTTGATCTTGGCTTTTTGAGGATAAACATGATCTCACCCATAGCTACTATTCATTGAATTCTAACTACAAACCAGGCACCATGCTAGGTATTTTATATGCATTACTTCATTTCGCCAATCCTCCCGATTTTTGTCATTAGGATTGGGGTTCACAAAGATTAAATGACTTGCTCAAGTTTTCATGGCCCACTTACATTCAACAAATATTGCTTAGGTACCTACTGGAGGCCAAGCATAGCACGAAACCCTGAAGACATGACAAGGAAACCCCTGCCATCAAGGGGCCCTCCATGCAGTGGGGTAAAAATTATGACAGATGAGTCAAGTCCACCAATAAGAGCTGCCATCCATTAGGCACCTACTGTGTGCTGGGTACTTTATAAGGTGAACTCTCAACAATTCCTCAAGGCCAGCTCTACCATTTCCATTTGGTGGGTGGAGAAAGGAGCTTGAAGAGGCTAAACAATATAGCCAAGGCCACACCCCAGTGGCAGGACCACAATTTGAAAGAAAAAGAAAGATTTGTACAAATAACACCACTTTTGGACTCACGTGGACCTCTTTTCAAATCTCATTAATCCCATTAAATCGCCTTTGGGCAAGGGCAATTTGGAGATGAAGTTTGAGCAAGGGAGTGTGGTGCCCAAGTCCAAGGTTTTGAGCAGAAACATCGGTGGTAGGGAATGGCTGAGCCAAAGAGGAAAAGGCTAAGAGCAGGGAGAAGCCTGGGAGGTTAGTGCAATCACTCTGTGAGAGAAGGTAAGACAGCAAAGAGAGGGAGTGAGGGCGCAGAGGACAATATGGATGCGAATGGCATTTTAGGATAACATGGACACGAATCATGGGAGAGCGCGCTGTGTGACATGCACCGTCATTAACCTTCTCTCCCAGGGGAGCAGGGGCAGGCTGCAGAAAGAGCACTCGGCCTGGCTGGGGCCTAGGCTCTGCCGTGAGATCCTGAAAAAGTTATTCAGCCCTGATGGGGTCAGGTCTGAATCAGGTCTGAATCACTGAGGTCACTCTTGTCGAATGAAAAAGTTCAGCTCAATGATCTCAAACGCCCTCTCTAAGTGGAATTTTACGTCTAGCTTTCCACGTAGTATCAAGTTATTCTTCAAGATGGAAAAATAAACTAAGCCACCAGAGGTCCCCACATCACTTATCTATCAAGAGCAACAACGGATCTTTGCAAATAAATATTTCTCAAAATTCCCTCCAACCTGTTCTAGATTTTCATCCTTATATTTGCTTCGAATGAAATCCAAGGAAGAAAATTCCATGTTAAAATCAATGTTCGTAAAGTCTCTAACAAAATAAAACGATAAAGTTTTAAATTGCCATACGATTCTTCATTTTTTTAAAAAAGCCACATGATCGTTTGTAACAACACTTAATTTGTAGGTTATAAAAGCACATCCAGAAAACCCTGAAAAATAAATTGCTGCTACACTGTTAACCAAACATAATACAATGAACTGTGGGTTTAATTCCTTTTAGTGCAGGTAATATTTTCCATAAAATGATTTTTAATAACTCTCATATGGGCATGACATTTTATTCTCAATGAAGAAAATTCCACTGAGAGTACAAAATAATTAAAAGCCCAGATTTGACCCTCACGGGCCTTGGAGGCTCCCCATGCCTCCTGAGAAGCAATACAATGGAAATTCTCATAAAAACTCACGTCTCCTCGGGGCAGACCTTGCCCTCTTTATCACATTTCTATTTCATATGTGGTCATTCAAGGCTCACAGCAAAAGCACATCCTCTATTTGGGAAGGAAAATTGGCCGAAGACAGGGAAACACGATTGCCATTGTCTACGACTGTCCCCTAACACACAGCTAGTGACTTCAGGACCCCCAGTTTTCCTTTCCACCTTCCTCTTCTCTCATTATCCTGAGTATCCACACAGATGGCTCATCTGACATGTTGATCTCTTCATCTGGCCACAGAAGTTTTTACCTGTGCCTTGGTCTCGGTGCCAATAACAATGACAATGATGCTCATCTCCTCTGAGGAGTTCTTGTTTACTTCTCTAACCCGGTCTGTCACAGCTGTGAGAACCTGCTGGTCACTCTCAGGACATGCTCGTCTCTCTTCCTCCACTCCCTCCTGGCAACAGCTGGCTGCCTGTCTTCACTAGACTTCAGGAGTCAGACACATCCATGTGGACCTTCTGTCACCTAGAATCTCCCCCTTCTGCCATACCCAGGGCGCCAAGCCATGATCAGCTCTCCTGCTCCTGCCTTCCCATCCCTGTCCACTGAGGGATGCTAAAAGAAAGGTCCACAGTCTCATGGGTAGAATCTACTACAAATTCATGTTAAGTTCCACAGGGTCCTCACGGCTGCTTGAAAATTATGTTATTTTCCCAAGGTGACCATACTGCCTCCAGATACAAAAGTAGTTCTGTTTGTTTTGCTGAAGGTCTTCTTTTATCCTTTCAATGATGCAAGTGTGCCCCCAGACGGGATCTTAATCCTGAGTCTGTTTCCTTAATGTCTCTGTGACAGGTGAGGATCAAGTGACTTAACCTGAATCTCACTGCTGCTTGGGGTATGCCTTTTGGACCTGCCGCCATCATATTTTAATGTTTCAGACATAGTCCATGCTTCAGGTTGCGATTCACCTTTCCCCTCAATGGCACTTCACATTCAACTTTAGAAAGAAAACAGTGGAGGAGTTCAGGACATGCTACCCCATAATGTACCACTTCGGTACATTGATTATTTTGAGCTAAAGGCACTTGAAAAATGGCAAATGCAGGGAGAGGCTTTCTCTGAACTTCCCTTATGTGCCTAAAGTCAACTCCTCCAAAAGGAACTCAGTTGTCGGGCACCTGGGTGGCTCAGTCGGTTAAGCATCTGCCTTTGGCTCAGGTCATGATCCCAGGGTCCTGGGATCAAGTCCCACATTGGACTCCCTGCTCAGTGGGGAGTCTGCTTCTCCCTCTGCCTCTGCCTCTCCCCCAGCTTGTGCTCTCTCTCTCTCTCTCAACTAATAAATAAAATCTTAAAAAAAAAAAAAAAAGGAACTCAGTTGTCATAAATTCCCTCCTGGGGAGTTTCATCAAACAGGGAAGATGGACTCTTATCACAGGAGATGGGACTGGAGGTTGACATCACACCCAGACAAACTTTATCACGTGTTGTCATAGCTTCCGATCTATTCTTTCCAGGGCCCATTTGTTGTTCCTAAAGATCACTGACTCTCCCCTGAGTGGCCTACACCCTCCCTCTCCTTTCTCACCACTTTTTGGGGTATTCACTTTTTATTCCCTGTGACGCCCTTGTGCACATATTAAAAATCAATAAATCTGTATACCTTTTCTCCTATGAATCTGCCCCTGGTGAGATTATTTCACAGATCCAGCTATGGAACCTAGGTGGGTAGAGGGAAGGCTCTCCTTCCCCACAAAAGCCTATGTGCCTTTCTCTAATTCTTTTCCATTGCTCCTGAGACAGGCTCCCAGTACCCTTGCCCTCCTCCCTTGACTGTGCTCTGGTCCTCTGCCTGCAGGCTCCGCACCGTCCTGCCCCATATAAGGGGGCGGCTAACGGATGTGTTTCCCATAGGAACACCCCCTTTGCCCTTCTGGTCCCACAGTGCCCCACCATCTCTTGGGCTGTAGGCTACACACAAGATAAAGTCAGAATTCTTCAGCCTATTTTGAAGTCCATCCGCTATCCAGAGCCAATCCTTCACATGAACACTCGGGACCAGTAAAACTGCTTTATTCATTATTTCCTGACCACATCGAGCACATTCCTTTCTACTAAATAAATGCTTGTAAAAAAGGAGAAAGACTGATGAGTGATGATACTACCAACAGCCTTTTCTTTTTCCAAGGAACAGAAAAGGATTTTGATGAGTCAATCTCAACAGATGTGCAGTTCTGGTTCATCCCAAGATTCTTCTGTGAAGGCTTCAAAAAGAGCAAATGTGAACGAAGGAAGGTATTTATGAACTAACATTTGCTGCCTTCTTCCCAAAAGAATGGAACAATTTAGACGGTAATACAAGTGCATGCTTACTGAACACCTACCGTGTGCTGCCACTTAAGTCACCTTATTAAATGCTAACCACCCTATAAAAGAGGTATTATTATCCCCATTTTCCCAGTAAGAACACAGGCTAGGGGAGGCTTAAGTCATTTACTCAAGCACATACAGATCAGGAGTAGCAGAAGTGGAATAAAACCCTAGCTAATACTCTTTTTAATAACACTCCATTTCTCGGGGCATGTGGGTGGCTCAGTCGATTAAGCGTCCAACTCTTGATTTTGGCTCAGGTCATGATCTCAGGGTCGTGAGATCGAGCCCGGCATCTGGCTCCACGCTCAGCGTGGAGTCTGCTTGAGTCTCCTTCTGCCCATCTCCCCCCACCCCGATCATGCACTCTTTCTGTCTAAAAAAATAAAAATAGATATAACACTCCATTTCTCTGCTACTACTTAGAAATTTCAGAATTCTACCAAGTTCCAGAAGAAATTAGTTTTGTTAGAACAAGTACATATATGGGGTTTTTTGTTTATGTGTGTGTATTTATGTGATAGAGGTTTTCTAAAAGGCCCATTCATTTTAGATTCAAAACTATAAATCATTTGAGTGTGTCTGGATATTTAAGGAAACTATATAAATATATTTGAACCTTCCCTGAGTAATGAACTCTTTAGAGATTTAAAAAGTTGTTATCTAACTACAGGTATTGATCATAACACTCATTATTACAATCCTTTCTTAAATCGGAATTTTTTTTTAATGAAAACAGTCCCTTTTGGGGTGCCTGGGTGGCTCAGTCATTAAGTGTCTGCCTTAGGCTCAGGTCATGATCCTGGGGTCCTGGGACCAAGCCCCGCATCGGGCTCCCTGCTCAGCGGGAAGCCTGCTTCTCCCTCTCCCACTCCCCCTGCTTGTGTTCCCTCTCTCTCTGTGTCTCTCTCTGTCAAATAAATAAATAAAATCTTAAAACAAAAAACAAAAAACAATCCCTTTCTACTACTTATAGCAATGGATTGCCCCCCATAAAGTATTGTAGGTCTAATGCTCTCCACTAGAAGCTCCTTTTAAGCTTTACAAAGGAATTTTACTAAAACAAAATATGTCTGTATGCCTACAGACAATCATGTGTCTGTATTATAATGGGTGGCTCTGTGGACAAATGGAGATATAGCCTATGAAGGAGGAAACAGACTGATGGTCACTGTGAATGCCCTGCTTTCATTCATAAACCAGTTGCTGCCCACATAATGCCTGATAGTCTAGCTTTGTGTGGATTCTCTCTCATGAGATACAACTAGCAGGCTGTTGATTTATGTCACATTTTGGGATGTTTCCTACTAGCTATCTTCTTCCTTATGTCCCTAAGCCATCTGCTTATAAAGGCATACTTGTGAAGTAGCTGGCCAATAAAAGTAACCACTAAAAGACACTTTAAACACACCCACTAGGCCACTGTGATCCAGAGAATAAATTTCAGTAGACCTTCTGTGGACATACATGGCCTCATTGTTCACGGATGCTGGAAGACCAATTACAGAGGGCACGTGGTTTGGAACTGACTATATTTTTAAGATTCACGAGTCAAGAAAATAATGACCTTTTCAAAAAAAAATGTCTCTGTCGAGGAAGCAGAGAGGGAGTGGGGAGAGGAGACAAGAAAAACACCCTTCAATATTATACTCCTTAGATTTTAGCTATCCAATGATTCTGGTAACAACGGAGTTGGAAAGTCATTATCAGTGAGGGATGACTTGTAAAAGATGAAAGAATAAGGCCTTCCACATCCTGGGATGTCCTGTGACTCACCAGGGCAGAGTGCCTAAAAGGACACCAAATGATCCACTCAAAGTTCATTTTAGAAACCACAAAACTAAGACCATATTCTTGAATGATACATCTTCAGTTAGGCTTGCCTAATTAATAGTTCTAAAACATATGTGAAAAAATAATAACTAGGATTTCCATCAGTTTTTTTTTTTTTTTTAAAGTAGGCTCCGCGTCCAGTGTGGAGCCCAACATGGGGCTTGAACTCATGACCTGAGCTGAGATCAAGAGTCAGAGGCTTAATCAAATGAGTCACCCAGGTGCCCCCGATTTCCAACAGTTTTAAAGAACATGGAGGTGGTAGTGGGCTGGGAGGGTGCTTCTGAGTAACTAAGTCACCTGACATTGGTGCAGCCAAGTGCAGTGGGCCTTCCAGGTAAGCTACACGTGTGACAGCTCAAGCCGGGCCTCCTTGGATGTGGTACAAAAGCCTGGATGCAATGCCCAGCTCTTGAGAGTCTTGAGCTGGGGTGTGGATATACCTAGCACCAGACAAGCAGTGGGATACAGTTTTCAGTTGCACCCAACCTGGGGGAATTAAAATATTCAAAAGTCATAAAGTAGTGAGGAGTGCCCTGAGTGAAAGGTAGCACCATAAATCTAAGAGAAATATAATTAAACTAAGAAGATGAAACTTGAAGGCCACACATCACCATCCTCTTGCCATGGATGGCAATTCTAATACATTGAATCTCACCGACTCTGCTATTTTAGACAGGTTGGCAGCCATTTTGTTTGTGAAGTTATCAAAGGGTATATTCTTTGCCAGGAAATATTATCCAGACAGGTCTAAGAACTGGTGGGAGAAAACAAATATTGTAATCGGAAAGAGAAAGAAAGAAAGAAAGAGAGAGAGAGAGAAAGAAAGAAAGAAAGAAAGAAAGAAAGAAAGAAAGAGAGAGAGAGAGAGAGAGAAAGAAAGAAAGAAAGAAAGAAAGAAAGAAAAGAAAGAAAGAAAGAAAGAAAGAAAGAAAGAAAGAAAGAAAGAAAGAAAAAGAAAAAGAAAAAGAAAAAAGGAAAGAAAAATAGGAAGGTAGGCAGGCAGGCCGGCCATGACACAGAAGGGAAATGTGGTAATAATGTAATAATGTTCAGCGCAAAAAAGAGGACTTTGCCTACCTCTGTTGTAACAGTTTGACCACTGACACATGTAGACAAAAGAAGTACAGTTCTATGTGTATTTCCACATCTGTTGCTAGATCTTGTTTTAGCTGGGGAGGGTAAATGGGAAGGGGAAGCATATACACTGTATACACAATATCTTCCAAGTTTGCACAGAAGACAGTGTGGCTGTTTTAAGTATGAGTTTTCCTGTTTTTTTGTTTTGTTTTGTTTTTAGATAAAGAACACAGGGCTAGTTTATCTCAACAGCTATTAAAGAAGGAAGAGCCTGCTTGGAGTACTTAGAAATAATATAAAATTTCTTCCTGACAGGGTTCCCCAAAATATATCCTATGGAACATCAGTTTCAGGAGGTATCCAGAGAAAAGGGGGTATTGTGGTCAAACCATCTCAAAGGCACTGACAGGTCTTGAGGAAAGAAATCGTATTCATTTTGTTTACCTTGGTACTTCTTAAACTAATTATTAGGGCACAGATTAGTGTTTTTCTCTAGAAACATCCATGTATATTTCAAGAACTAGTGTTTTTTTGGTCATACTGAGAGCTACCGAGCTAGTTTTAAATGTGGGGAAATGTGGCATATAAATAAACAGATCTTTTCCTGGCAGGCAGGCAACCTGCAAGTCTCAAAAATTTCAACCAAAGTTAAACTCATTTTGAAATATAATTTGCCCTCCTATGCCATTTGGTATTGCTGACACCCTCTACATGGCTAAATGACTAAGCTATAAAACAAAGTAAAAGACAGTATTCTTGTGACTTAAATTCCATGTCCTGTCACTTGGAGCACGGGCCCCCACTCAGGACTCTGAATTACATATGCAAGCTTCAAGTTCTCATTACATAACCTATGGATGCAACTGGAAAATGAAATCAAGGGCCTGCCTCACTATTCTGACCCTCTCTTCAGAGGCTACCTGAGAGTATGATTAAAACCAACTCAATTCTGCATTTAGGGGTCCATTTCACGTCACTCCTAAAACCTAAGACCCGTTCTGGAACCAAACTTCAGAGTCTTGAAAATCTGGTCAGAATTTTCAGAAAGATCGAATTACTCCCTCACTCCCTGCCTGCCACCGCAACTCCAGCTGAAAGACTGCCCCATGAACGATGATATGAATGGCCTCCCAGCTAGGATTTCCTCAAGCCTTCCGTGAGGGCTTCTGACCCTCTGTGCCTCTCCCCTTTACAGAACATACTCTTCCAGGAGCTCTAGGCCTCCATCAGCTACTGTAGCTCCTTTTGTGAGGATGTGAAGCCTACCATCCCACTGGGCGGAGGTCAGCATTGAAAGTAGTTATGCAACTCTAGTCAGCCAGGGACGGCTATAATATGGAAGTTCCCGGAAGTTAGTGGTACTTCCTGGTAAGATTCTAAGGGCTGGATCTGAGAGCCAGGTGGGCAGTTTGTAAAAGACCAGGGCTTAGTTTAAAGAGGGTGGATTTAACTTCCAACCTTTGTACAGCTGGGCTCTCTAGATTAGAAGTTCGAAATAAAAGGGAAGGCCAAATCTCCGGTTCCAAGGCTACATGTTGAATGACTTACCTCAACTTCCACCTTCGTGAAGGGCTGGCAGAAAGTAAGCATACAAAGCTGAATGCTGAAGAGAAAAAAGAGCAGGCCATCTTTATGTGGTAATACAAGTAACACCTAATATTATTACTCAACGATCCTTTCTTTATACACAAGCACTGCTACGTCACACTTATATATATTCTGCATTTATAAATGTCACCCTGCTGCTGTAACATTCCTTGGGCTTGAACAAGTATTCGTGCTATTCAAAAGTTACATCACCAAATGCAATATCAAATATGCACTTGTGAGTCAGAGCGGCAGCTCAGCATGCTAAACCCCAAATTTGAAGTCTCCTTGACAACTCAGGCTTGTAGGCCTAAGTCCCTAGAGAAACTACCGAGGCCACAGGTTAAGGCACATAAGGGTGTTTATAGGACAACTCCTGAGTAGAACATTACGTTTCTAAACTCTTTCCTGATATGAAACAAAGAAAAAGAAAAGAAATCAGCGGGTCTTTCCCTAAGAGCAGAAACTTTATCGTAACTGTCCCAATTAATAATAAATGTTTAAGTTATGGAGAAATTTTCTTTCATTGTAAAGCTGGACAAAGGACAAAGGCTTTAAAATGATTATAGCCAAACTCTTCAAAGAAAATTTTTGAAAATAGTTGTTTCTATGTATGGCTTTCTAATACATATTTAGACTCTCTGGATAGGATGTCAATGGGATTTTTATTTCACCTCATTTAGACAGATGACCCAGAATTCTGGCAGAGTGGATTAATCTACGTGTTTAAGAAAACAACCAACCTGTTTTTGCTATTGAGAAACTAAAATTGGGGCACCTGGATGACTCAGTTGGTGAAGCATCTGACTCTTGATTTTGGTTCAGGTCATGATCTCAGGGTCGTGACACTGAGCCCCGTGTCAGGCTCTGTACTCAGTGGCGAGTCTGCTTGAGATTCTCTCTGTCCCTCTCCCTCTGCCCCTCCCCTCCTCTTGTGCTCTCTCTCTCTCGCTAAAAAAAAAAAAGAAACTAAAATATGATTTATCTATAAAAAATTACTTAAAGGACTTACTTTACACAAGAAATTTGGAAATTTAAACAAAGAAGGGATTTAGGTAGATATACCAATTCCATATATAATTATAAATTGTGAATGTTAAGTATCAGTTCTCAAATTTTCCATCTGAGAGGAAAATAATCTTTTACTTTCAACCCCAAGCAAATAAAATCAATCCATATTATTTACCACAAAATAAACTGTTCTTGATTTATTTAAATTGAGCCTTGGAATTTAGTGACTCAAATAGATAAATCTGTTCTGAAAATTCTGAATGCTGTAAGAAAGAAAGAAAGAAAGACAAAAACAGAAAGACAGGAAGCAAGGAAGGAAGAGAGGGAGGAAGGGAGGGAGACAGGGTGGGAGGGATGGTGGGGAGGGATGGAGGAGGGAAGGAAGGAGCCAGGCATAAGATCTCATTAAAACTGTGTTGTCTACATACACCCAAACCAAACACTTCTCGGACCCACACAAAACAGATTTTTCCATAGCTGCCCCTTCTATAAGTGTACTCCCTAAGTTTATTAACCTTCTCCCTTAGGCTATCTGCCTTAGTATAGACTCTCTTCCTTACAATCTCAGTCTAGACTCACCCTTAGAGCGAAGGCAATTGAGAAAACGGACTTAAAAGTAACAGCACAGTGGGGCGCCTGGGTGGCTCAGTCGGTTAGGCGGCTGCCTTCGGCTCAGGTCATGGTCCCAGGGTACTGGGATCGAGCCCCGCATCGGGCTCCCTGCTCGGCAGAGAGCCTGCTTCTCCCTCTCCCTCTGTCTGCCGCTCTGCCTACTTGTGCTCTCTCTCTCTGTTAAATAAATAAAAATCTTAAAAAAAAAAAAAAAAAGTAACAGCACAGTGCTAAATACACCATGAAGCCCATCAGAAGATAAAAGTGGAAATGAGAGTCACCATAGGCAAGTGCAATGTGGCACCTGGACAAAACATAATTGTGCCTTTTGAGGATTTTGTGTTTATCGGTCCTAAAAAATCTTTACCTCTGGAAAAATGTTTTCCCTCTCTTTTCTGAATTCCCTCTCCTATTTTCTTTTTCCCTTTATCACACATGTCCCAGGTTAGATGGCAAGATTAACCCAACCGTTACATTTTCTATCCTGATCCCCCTTCCAGGAAGGCCTTCCTGTACTTGACCTTCATGCCCACTTGCACTGCCACGCAAGTTACACAAGGCACACTGACCACACACTGACCACACAGGGAACCTGCAGTCACTGTCGCTGTAAGGAACTTAAATTATAAAGACCCTGAGGATGACACACCTCAAGACACACAATGATGTTCTGCACCCAGTTTTTAGGCACTCCCTTTTCTAAAATGCTCTCGTACGATTTGTTTCTCCTCACTTGCCCTTGTATAAAAAGCCAAAAACCAGGAACTCAAGATCAACAGTGACACGAAACATGTATTCTAGACAAATGAATAAACCGATTTCCTGAAGAGCTAAAGATCACATAACGCCTAGATATCCTTTGCAATTGATGGTATTTTGAGCGTCGTTTACTTAACTTCAACTATGAGGGACCGAAGCATAATAGGAACATACGTGTCTCACATGTTAATAAACACTAACACATGTAACTGGCCCATCAGTTACCTATTCTGATTTAAATTTATTATTTCAATGAAATTCACACACACAAAACGGAAAAAATCGATATGTAGTATAAAAAAATCAGACTTTCATATGTTGTTTGGATGATCTAAGGAACTCACAAGGTACCTGAAGGCAAATGATGATTCCCCTTTACATATGTCCAAGTGGTTGTCCATGCATCAACAATGTTATGTGAACTCTCTATGTTCAGTATTAAAAGGCATTGCTGGGTAAGCCCCCGGGCAAAGCCCTCAAATCCAGGCATTTTATACATGGCTCTCACTGCAGTATAAACCAGCTCAGACTTATCCAGGGGGAACTCGACAAAAGGCCTTGAGGGAAAGTAAGATTCTACATGTTCTGTTCTTTCTAAAGGCCTGTTTCACTTCAGCTTATTTACTGGTGAGCTGTATTCTTCTCCTCTCTTAAATGTTTATAGAAACTGCTGATCCCTATGATTTTAAAGTCCAAGAATGGAACTGAAAGCTTAGCTATTTTCTCAGCTCAGATCAGACACATCACTGCTATTTCAGGCCATATGATGCAATGGCTCTGGACTGCTTAAACTGATATAGTAAAACAACAATGGAGACACCAGCTAATATGCTGTCTGCAGTGGAAATAAAACTACAAGATTAAAGCTAAGTAGGATGCAAACCAGGTCACTGGACTGGTTCTTAAGAATTGGTAGATACACGCTTGAGACCCTAAGAACATGGCAGACAGCTAGAATTCTGCACATGGGAGGGGCCAGGGACTAATGGACAAGATAGTGATGCTCTCTACAGAGACTTCTCAGTGACAAGATTTCAGGATCTGATTAGAAATCTTTACTCTTAGGGGCGCCTGGGTGGCTCAGTCGGTTGGGCGTCCGGCTCTTGATTTCGGCTCAGGTCCTGATCTCAGGGTTGTGAGATCAAGCCCTGTGTTGGGCTCAGGCTCTGGCTCAGCAGGCAGAGTGTACTTGTCCCTCTTCCTCCCCCCTCTTGCACACACACAGTCTTTCTCAAATAAATAAATAAATAAATAAAATCTTTAAAAAAAAGAAATCTTTAAAAAAAAACAGGCTTATTTTTTCTTAAAAAAAGAAGGAATACATGATCTCTTTTTTCTTCTCTTGAATAAAATTTAAATAAACCAATAATAGAGAGAAGCGACTTACAATGTATATCCTTGCCACGTCCAAGTCACGGTATCCTACAATAACAGAAGTATTTAGACTGTTAGTTCAGTGAAAAAATGCCAAATAAAACCCAAATCTTATTTTAATATTGGTAGTCATATACTTTCCTTCTGAATTAAAAGCAGTATGTTGAAAAGTAAAATGAGCCTATTATCAGCAGTGAACTGCTCTATGAATTCTTGAATTATTTATCTATGCAGCAAAAATCTGTTTTCCATATGTAATCACCTATCTTTTTATGGAATTAAGTTGCTCTTAATTTTTAATAAAGCTATGTGCATGCTTAGCTATTTTTCTCCTAATATGGACATATCTGGGTAATTAATTTGCTTACAAACCCCAGAATATATCTTTTCTCAAAAAGAGGGGGATGGGTATTTGGAAGAAAAGATTAAAATAGTACATAGTGAAAGAATTTGAGAAAATGCCAAATAGGCAGAAGTAAAATAAGTAAATTTTGATGGATTTTAATTTTTTTTAACTCCAGATGTTGAAAGTTGAGAAGCCAGCTACTGAAAGAAAAGCTGAATTGAGCAAGAACTCTTTACCTTAAATAACATAGATAATTAATTACAGCCTGATTTTTTATGTAAAGTCTCTAGTAGAGAAAGTTCCTCTCAGAACCAAAACAGATTCCAAAATACCTTTCTTTATAGGAAAATGGTGGCACCATCCATATCCAGAGGACAATGTTGTACCTGGCTGGAGCAGAGAGACTGTTTCCTAAGCCAACTGTGCACTTTCTATAGGATAACAGATTCTTTTCCTATATATCTTCTTATTTAAGTTACTTGCTAAGAGTTACACAGCTAGTAAGTACTGAGCCAGGAATGAAACACCAAGGCAATCCCAAATTTATCCTGCTACACCAGTTATCCTTCCAGTAATAACCGTTGAATCAGGAAAAGTCTCCTTGTGGGCTTAGTGAAAATCACTTTACGCAAGTTTTCTGCTACGCAGTCTAAGACCCCGGTACCATTACTGTGACAATAGAGTAGAAGCTAAGGAAATGCCTTCTTGGAGCTTAATAACAGCAGAACAAAATATAATATCGGTGTCCACAAGTACGTGCCTATCTTGCAAACTTCTAAACACTCCATGTGGCAAGGGGTATGGGGTCTGCCCATGTTCTTCCACCATGTGTCTATTCAGTGCTTCATTCAAAGTTTAAAAGGGGTGCTAGAGAATCTGTGCTGTTCGGAATGTCTGAGATTTTTCCCACAGTAAAACACTATGCTTACCAGCTTGTTTGGGTATCTGAGGAGGATTGGCTGCACCGGAACTCCAGGAATGAAGGCTCCTATAACCACAGTGAAATATTATAGCATCTTCCTTATATGACTATAAGGTTTACAATGAAGAAAATTAATAATAAATGGTATACCTATCCTTACTGGTTTAAGAGTACACATAAACTATTTGCTAATTGCCCATAAATCCCTAGTGCTCACCAAAATGAGAGAGTTCTAAAATTCAGAATTATGAAACCAAAATATTAAATGTTATGCCCAAGTCGCTGAAAATATTTATTTACATCTCCACGTGTTTTCATTTTCCAAATACACATTATTCAAAAGGGTTTAAAAAAAAAAAGTGATAACAAAGTCAAAACCAAGAGAAACTGAGGAGAACAAAATCTAAATAAAAGCGAGGGGCGCCTGGGTGGCTCAGTCGTTAAGCGTCTGCCTTCGGCTCAGGTCATGGTCCCAGGGTCCTGGGATCGAGCCCCGCATCGGGCTCCCTGCTCAGCGGGAAGCCTGCTTCTCCCTCTCCCACTCCCCCTGCTTGTGTTCCCTCTCTCACTGTGTCTCTCTCTGTCAAATAAGTAAATAAAATCTTTAAAAAAATAAAAATAAATAAAATAAATAAAAGCGAATACTTGGAGCAAGGACTACCCCCACTTGCTAGAAGAGAGTTCTAACTTTGGCTCTGAGCATTCTAGCAGCCAATACAAAAACATGTTAAAGCATTACCAGTTACTAGGAAATTATGTATGAAATTACACATTACTGTGAAATTAGTGACTTTATAATATTAAAAAAAAGGAGTGAAGCACAGAAGGCATCTGAAGGCATTATAATGATCACTAAAATAGTTTTCTATCGGATAATGCAGGAACTAGGGTGTTTGTGAGGGTATCCTTGGAGGAAGAGACAAATCTGCTAGTGGTTTCTGTGTGTGCGTATGTGCACGCAACCGGATACACTATCAAATGGTTCACATGTACACACACACAAACATGCATGTGCGTGCCCACACACACGAGCACATATACACGATAATCCAAGGAAGAAGGGGTTATGATACCAAAACGAAAGTAAAGGAGTGAGTTCTGTGGATTCACAATATTAAAAACTTTCTATTGGGAAAGAAATGCCCAGGACAAACTAACAAGTTGTTTTGTGTATTAGTAACAGATCATTTGAGAAACTGTCCATACTTTGTTATAGTACATAATTTAATTGATCTCACCTGGTTTAAAAGTAATCAAACAGGAACGATTAGTACAAGTACCTTCTGGGAAAACTAGTATCTTGGGAGAAAAGGAATACGTAGATTTAATATTTCAGTCTAATTAATAGATTGTCTCTTTACTCACTTTCTTATGACTTCACAAAGAGCCGCCAGTTCTTATAAAACAAAAGTGAAATAAAAGGCTAATACTTGATTCTATCGAAAGCTAGAATCGGATTATCCAGTTTTCCTCTAAAAGAACTGCTATCTGACCATTGAAATAATTAGAAAATGGATTAAAGCTTTGAATAGAAAATACACTTACTAAATGTTTCTTAATGACAATGCTAATGATCTGGATAAACTTAAAAGAAGATGCAGACCCTAAGTCCTGGTCAAAGAGCACATTAAATTCTTTGTTCTACTGCTTTACATCCTTAACCAAATCATTCCTACTTCCTTGTTTCTGTTTTCCCGTTAAAGGATATTCACTCCTACAACATACAGTTCAGGGATATATGGAGGAGGGAAAAAGGAGAAAATACTTACAACATGCTTTATGCTTACTTGGGTTAGTGGACATATGGAATACAATTTAGTATCTTTTTTGAGAAAGTATTTTTAGCTTTTAACATAAGTCCTTTCTGTTCTTCATGTGAAAGACATGCAGCGTAGTTAGTTTCCCCATTAACTGAACAAGCTGGATTTTCTGAAGCTTTTAGAATTTGGCAATGAGTGAATCGTTAAGTACATAAAATAAAAACAGAAAATTCCTGCACCCACAGCAGTTAGTATGTGTACTTAGTTGGTATTTGTATTTTATAATAATTAGAAAGGGAAAACATTATTAGGCGAAAGTGCCACCATGATGGGTTATTTATAAAATAAAAATGATAAGTGTATGCAATTTCATCCCTCAATTAAAAAACAACAATAACAACAAACAGGTTTCTTATCACAACTGGTACAATATCAAATATGGTTCATTCAGTGGAAATGCTACAGCTACTCTATTAACAATGAGTGGATATAGAGTAAATCATAAAATCTCAGCTCTGGAAGGGGCATTAAAAGCCATCCAGCATTGCCAATGCTTGAATTCTTTCTACAATATCCCCCCCAAGTGGTTGCTTAGTCAGTGCCTGAAAATTCTGGAGAAGGAGTTCAGATCAGATCATTCTACCTCTGGACAGAAAGTTCCTTGAGATGAGTGAGACGGGCTAAAATCTTACCTATTTGTTAACTTTGGCCTACCAGTCCTAGATATAGCAGCTGGATTCAAAGAGAAAAACCGAACCCTTATTCCAGGTGCCGTTTCTTCCTGGTCACTTTTTAAGTCATTCCTCACGTGCTGTGGTTTCTAAACCTCCTGGTGGGTCATACTCCTCTTAATATTTTAACATCTACACATCATCATGGGTGGCCAGATCACTACCAGATCATGAGTCCTGCTAGAGGTCCCCTACTTACACCTGGGCCAAGGTAGAGTGATACTTATCAGAATTACCCAGGAGGCTCCCTTTATCCAGAAAATGTTGCCCCTCCCTCGCCTTAAAAAGGCATTCTAGGAGATAGGGGTAGTAAGATGGTAAAGTCTGAAAAAGTTCTCTAGGTGATTCGGATGTACCCCCTGAATTGAAAAGCCCTGTCTAAATATACTTCGGATAAGATTAAGACCATAATCGCTTTTAAAAAAAAAAATAAATAAACCTACCATATTGTTGAGTATATTTGAGCTTTGATATTTTGTCTTTAAGATAATAAATTCAGAGGTAGAGAATTACTTTTTATGACACAAAGTAAAAACTGTTTCAAAGAGTTTGGAGGATAAGAAAGAATGATACATTAATCCCATGGAGTATCTCATGGGGAAGAGGACTTTTTAATACTCACTCATTTGTTCTGTTTCTATTATGCCGAAAACACCCAGCATAGGTGTCCCCAAATGCTGCCATCTGTGGATCCAAATGATTTACATATATACAATAAGTAAACTCGCCGTATATCTAAACGAACTTCCGTATTTTACCTGTGGCCACTGCCCTCCTGATGTTGCTCGCCTTACTATTTCATTTATTGTGTTTTTTCGAGAGTCCGGATCTACCCGGGATACCAGCACTGGCTGCAAAGCTCGTAATAGTCCTTTAAAACAAACAAAAGGTCAGAGCCAAGTCATTTTTTTTTTTTTTTTTTGGCTAAAGCTACCACAGCAATGCTACTGAAAAAATCATGAAACAGTTTTTATGTAAAGTTAAAATATAGCAAATCAAAGAGAACTTTAAAAAAAAAAAACTGCTCTAATTCACAGCTTATTAGAAGGTTTTTTTTATATCTACAAAGATTTCATTGATATAACAGAAGTTAGCAGCAAGAATATGAAAGGAAACAAAGGCAATTTTCTCCCTGAAGGTCTTCTTCCTCAACTGACAGACATCCAAGCTTTGGAATATAAATCTACAATATTATCTTGTTTTATTTTAGGAATATCCTGAAAACTGATTGTGTGAATTCAGAGTACACATGGATAGGGAGCAATTATTAATTTTACTAAAATTTTCAGCACGCCAGTCTAAGTAGGTAGCTTCCTCACACATGCAAAATAACCTCAATTTACTGAAAATCTATCGCTAAACAGCTTTTCAGGAAAATGCCATATTACACAAAGCAAGGTGGTTACACTGAAAAAAAAGAGAGAGAGAGAGAATGTGTGTAGTGCGTGTATGTGTGTGTTTTTCTTAGCTGAGTGAAAAGTGGCAGGAACTACTGCTGTTTCTCCAGAGTGCCAAGGTAACATCGGGAAACTTCCATACCCACTCTCTCACCACTGGATGTTTGCAGTAACCTCAGGACGATGGGGAGCGGTTACTTAGAGACCCACACCCTAGGGAGAGACCAAAGCACCTGGTGGGATACACATCTCACTTGCTTCATTATTTTTTATGGCAGGAGGCACTTTATCGTTCCACATCATAATTTTCAAAGAGTTTCACATGGGTCCCTCATGGAGACTCTGGGGCAATAATAAGAAAACAGAGTTAAGAGGAAAGACTTCATGTGTCTATCAGCCTAATACCCCAAAGAGAAATTTGTGAAATGGCGTGTAACCGGTGTTTTCACAGATTCTTCAGTTAAATTCTCTCTCGAAAAAAATCAAGGCATATTTGGTACTTGAAAGCTGGTCTTTCTAGCTAGATACAAGGACAGAAAGCAAAGATGGTACGGTGACAAAAATAAGAATCTGAAAGAACTCTAAGGGCACAGAGAGGGAGGTCTCTAACCTTTATCACAAATTCCTTCCTTCGATATAATTCCTCACTAGAAGTAAGGAAATAGCTTTGAGAGCTTTTAAAAAGCCCACCGATAAACGATAGATGATTTTTTTAAAAAGGTGACCCACGAGCATGAAAAGATCTATGTTGTCTTACAAGTACTTACTGCCAATCAGAGGGACCTGTACGTTCTCGTTTCGAGATACTATTGAAGGCAACCCGGCTGCAACACAGGCAATTCCATCAAAGAATGTTGAATGGGGGGCAGCAACAAAAACTGGGGCCTCCATGGGGCGCGCCACCTTTCCCTTCATAGTAACTATGAATCCCATTGAAAAGAACAGGGCATGACCCAGAAACTTCAAAACTGGTTGAGTGATTTCCCTTTGGAAAGAAATATTTAAAAAAAAAAAAAAAGAAAGAGAGAGAGAGAGAAAAAGAAAAGACACAATTAGCCTTGCTAATCTCAGCTAATGGCGGGGCTTTACTCTAAAACACAACACAAAAACCCATACGTGTCAGAACATTTCATTTTAAAATATGAGCTAAGAGGAATAGCTAACAGTTATACGAAGGGTTCTTTCTGCCAGGCACTATTCTGAGGATTTTACATCTCTTTAATCCTCAGCCCAATTTTATGAAATGGGTATTATTTATCAGCATCCTCATTTTGCAGGTGAGAAAACTGAGTCACCGAGAAGCAAAATTTCCCCAGGACATATGGCTAATAAGTGGCTCCATTATTCTGTGACTATAAAGGGATAAACATGAATTTTCCACACACACTTCCCCCACTGAGAAACCCAAATGCCTACTGTTCTTCAGAGGAGTCACCTGGGGAATGTACATGTGGGTAACAAAGATGCTGCTATCTCCCCCAAACACTTTTAGAACTCTCATGCTGAATCTGTCCTTTCCTATACAATTAGAGCTCTTAGACATCATCAAAAATCTTAAAAGGTAAATTCACCATCTCACTTCCCTGGAACATAGATGCACTTACACAATTTCAGATGTCGAACTGCTTACTTTTTAAAAAGAATTTCTGTCATTACAGATTAATTAATTCATCGAACTGTGCCAGGTGACCTGCGCTGGACGCACAAGACAGATAAGATCCAGTCTCTGTCCTTGAGAAGCTCAACTGAGTAGGGAGAGAAAAACCCACTTCTAGAAATGCAATTTAGAATGGACATCCAAGGATGTGAATAAGCACACAGCAGCTTTTCATGAAAAACAAAACATGTGTATTTCCCATAAGACATCTAGTGAGAGCTTTAAAAAATAAGCTTCCTGTCTAATTCTCTCAACAGTCTTGTCATAATGCAGAGAAGTGAGACACAGAAAACCAAGGCACTTTTCCAGAGGGCACAGGGAAATGACTGTGTCTCTCCTTCTTGCTCTTTCAAGTTCAGATGTCTATTTACCTAAGGATAAAAAGCTCAGCCTGTTACTGGATTTCTACACCTCCTATTTTTGATTTGTAGTGATGTAGATTCTAAAATATCCCATACTCAGAGCTGTTAAACACCTCTATCTAAATGATTTCAAAAAGGCTAAAAGTTTGATGCTGCATAATTAACTTCAACGTTACCTGTTTGAGAGGAACTAGAGAAACTTGCTTAATTGGCAAAAATAGAACTTTTTTCCCTAACGTTTATTAAATCTGTTCTCTGGATTCTTGGACTATTCCCCTCCGTCATTACAGGGCTCCGTAAGCCGTTAACGATAGAAACCAAAGAGGTAATTGAAAGGGATTGGTGCATCATGAAAAAATCTCTCATAAAGTATTTTTTAGTGATACGCAACCTTGAGTTCTGAAACAAAGGAGTGTGATTTGCAAGGATTGAGGTGGTATTAGTTCTCTGGGGACACTGCCAGCCTTGGATTCACTTCCACTTCAAACCAGCCTTGGGCTGAATGTTGACATTTATTCACTAGAACATGAACTGAATAGCAAATTGCATATTTCTTTAAAAGTTTCTAGAACAGTGATTTTCAAAATTTTTGGAGAATATTCTCCTTCGAGATTTGGATGAAAGGAATGGACCCTGTGTACAAAGAAAAAAATGTGCACAATTTTGGAGAGTTCAACAGTGCCCTAAAACTCACCCATGGCTTCCTATTCCCAGGAATCCACATTTTAAAAGGCTTCACTCTCAGGATAAACATATGGCAACAAGTTGGCTCTGCCCAATGGGAATGAACTTTTACCAGTAACTTTGTTAATTTGTGATGAGCCTATTCTCTAATACCCTGCTAATTAGATAATGCTCGAGAAGCAATTCCATTCTCCCTCCATACTAATGTTTTAAAAAGCTAGACGATATTGATTAAGAATTAAACTGTTATTAATAATAATCACTAAAGTATTAAGTACATTGTAACTTACCCACTTAATTATACCACTGTAGAAAGTACGTAGTTACTATATAGGGACAAAAGCAAATGTCAAGACTGAGGGAGAGTGGAAGAAAGCCAGGTATTTTCCTGCTATAATGGTTTCAGGTATACTAACTGGGTCTTCCAGAACCAAGGATCTATCACTTTTAAGCAATAACTCAGAAAACAATATTTTAATGTTAGGAAATTACAGCTTCAACAGAAGATTATCATAAGGTGCTTGGGCAGCAGTTTCTCCATATGATGAATTAAGAAATAAATGGTGAATATTGAGTCAGCAGCAGTAGATAAAACTCTCGATTGATGATTAAACTATGGCAAACTCTTCTTTATCTTGATTTACCTAACATTTAGACATTATTCTTTCTTACCTCCTCCAACCAGTTATTGGATGGGTCAGCTTTTCGGGACAGCATGCTGTTGAAATGGCAGCAAATGGCCATGCCAGTAATATAATTAATGCGACCAACAAGGCACGGATTGGAAGCAGGATAATTCCAAGAAATAAAATCTGAAAGTCAAAGTTGATTTAAAAAAATAGGTGAATGGCCAGTATTTTAATGTTCTGGCTATCAACCAGAAACACGGAAGAGGAAAGTTTTGTGTTATCTATGCGTTCACTAAAGGATGAATTGAACATTACCCTGCCCCAGACATGAAGCCAAGCACAAAGAAAAATAAGGTACTATATCCCACCACACAACACCTACGATGTAGAAAAGCAACAGTGAAGAAAACCAGGTCCTATAAGAACATGTGATCTGTTTATCAAGGAAAGTAACTAGAGGATGCTGGGGAAACAAAGTATCTGACTGAGCAGTCAGGGAAAGCTTCCTGGAGGAGTTGAAGGCTGAATGGTCTTGAAAGAGCAGCAGAAGCTAGCAAGGTAAGAGGGGAAATTGCTTTTTGAGAGCTATCAGTAGAAGGAAGAGTGTTAATGAAGGTGTTAGAGTGTGAAAGAGTAAATGCGTTATTTTATATACCTGCCAGTCCTTTATAACTAACAACAATAAGGAGATGGAGAAGGAAATAAAAAACAAGAATAAGAATGAAAATTAATAAGAATGGCCAATAATACACGAATGCTTATTATGTAGCAGGCACAAGAAGCACTTGGCATGTAGAAACCTATTTTATTCCTACAACCTTAGGCTGTTTTACATACAGGAAAGGAATGGCACAGAGGAAGTTAGGTGTAGCTGCTGAGATCACAGTTACTAAGTGGCAGCACCAGGGTTTGAACCCAGCTTGGTTACAAAGCCCTTGCTCTTAATCCTATACCATACTGACTTTTTTTTTTAAAGATTTAAAAAATTTATTTGTCAGTGAGAGAGAGAGAGCACACGCAGGGGGAGTGGCAGGCAGAGGGAGAAGCAGGCTCCCTGCTGATCAAGGAGCCCAATGCGGGACTCAATTCCAGGACCCTGGGATCATGACCTGAGCCGAAGGCAGACGCTTAACTGACTGAGCCACCCAGGCGTCCCACCATATTGACTTTTAAGTGAAATAAACTATCCTTATGCACACCAAATTATCTTTCTTCTATTAGCCAACTACACTACTCAAACAGCGCTGTCCTTCTGCCTCTCCTGGCCGTTAATGTGAATCTGAGCATCATCAAATAATTTATGAGGAGCACCAAATGATTTTGCTTTTCTGTCAAACAATTTAACATATAATTTAATCTGTCAAATTATGTGTGTGCCTGTGTGTGTGTTTGAAGTCAAAATTATGTACAAGGAAATGTACAGCTCTTAAGTAGATCGTTCAGTGAGTTTTGATAAATGTATATCCTTGTACCTACCACCCAAAGTAAGACACAGAACACATCTACCCTCCAGTCATCTTACGCCTCTTCCAGTGAATCCCTACCCACTTAGGCAACCGATGCTGGATTTCTATCACTTGGATTAGTTTTGTCTGTTCTTGAACGTCACATAAATGAATCATACATTATGCATTGTTATGTGTCTAAGTTTCTTCCACTTAACATGTTTTTGAAATTCAACTATGTGATTTTGTAAATGAGTAATTCATTATTTTTGATTGCAGAATATGATTCCACTGTATGCCAATAGACAATTTGTTTATCTATTCTCCTGTTGATGAATCTCAGGGTTTCCAGTTGTGGGCTCTTATGGACTGAAGACCCTATGAACATTCTTATACAAGCCCTTTTGTGGATATGTGTTTTCCTTTCTCATATGAGGAGTGGAACTGCTGGGTCATAGATAGTTTAACTTGATAAGAAACGGCCAAAGCACTCTCCACAGTGGTTGCATCATTTTAAAGTGTCACTGCCAATGTATGAGAATTTTGGTCACTTGCACATCCTTGCCAACATTTGGTCTTAGTATTCTTTTCAAAAAATCAACTTTATCAAGGCATAATTTACATAAAATAAAATGCACGTATTTTAAGCGTGCAGATTAGGAGTTTTTCAAATATATATCCCTGGCCCTTGGCAACTAGTGACAGGCTCCTTTTCACCCTAGTTTTGCCTGTTCTAGATTGTCATGTAGAAATCACCCAGTATGTATTCTTTTATGTCTGGCTTCTTTCCTCCATATTTTTGAGATTCTACCATGTCGTCATTATGTACCAGGAGTAAAGCCTTTTTGGTTGCAGAGTATGATTCCACTGTATGAATATATCATGATTCATTTTTCCATTCTTCTTTATATGGACATTTGGCCTATTATAAGTTTTTAGCTATTATGAATATAGTTTTCATGGACATTAATGCTCAAATCTCGGTGTGGACATATATTTTTACTTCATTGGGAGTGAAACTGTTGGGTCACGGTATGGTTAGCTTTACAAGAAACTGCCCCACTGTTTTCCACAGTGGTTGTTATCATTTTACATTACCAACAAAGTATGGAAGTGTCTGTTGCTCCACATCCTCACCAACATTTGGTGTTGTCAGCCTTTCTAGCCATTCAAGTGGGTATAAAATAATATCTCATTGTGATTTTCATTCACATTTCCTTGATGAACAATGATGTTGAGCACATTCTTCATGTGCTTATTGGTCATTCCTTTAACTCTTTATGTTAAGTGTCTGTTCACGTCTTTGGCCCATTTTTATTGGTTTGTTTGTTGTTCCCTTATAAATTTGTAGGAGTTCCTTATATGTTCCACTTCCAACACCTTTGTCGTTATATGTATTGAAGTATTTTCTCCTAGTCCGTGCCTTTTCATTTTCTTACTGGTATCATTTGATGAGAAGAATTTTAATTCTGATGTAGACTAATTTATCAATTTTTAGTTTTTGTTTTCTGTGTCCTTTCTAAGAAATCTATACTTACCTCAAGGTCATGATGATATTTTATATTCTCTTTTCTAGAAGCTGTATGGTGTTAGCTTTTGTTTCAGTTTATGATTCATCTTAAATTACTTTCTGTGTGTGGTATGCACTAGGGATCAAGGTTTGTTTTTATCCATAGCTCTATCTAGGTGTTCCAACACCATTTGTTGAAAAGACTTGATACTCCATAATGAATTTTCTTGGCAACTTTGTCAAAAATCAATCAAACACATATGTGTGGGGTCTCCATTATGTTTCATTGATTAGTTCATCTATTCTTCTGTCGATACCCCATTCTCTCAACTTCTGCAGCTTTTTTTTTTTGCCCCCCCCCCCTTTTTTTTAGCAAGTCTCAAAATCAGGTACTGTGTGTCCTGCAGCTTTTTCTTCTTCAAACTTTTTTTGGGCTAATCTAGTTCCTTTGCATTTCCACATACATTTCAAATTAATTTGTCAGTTTCCACCCAAACAAAAAAGCCTACTGGGATTTTTATTAGGGTTTCAATGAATCTATAGATCAATTTGGAGGGATTATCACCATAAAAATATTGATTCTTCCAATGTATAAACATAACATATCTCTCCACTTATGTAAAGGTCATTAATTCCTCACAACAGTGTTTTGTTGTTTTCAGTGTAGTGGTCTTACATGTTTTTGGTTAAATATATTCCTAATTATTTAACATAATTTTATTGCCATTATAAATAAGATTATTTAATTTTACTTGGCAATTCTTTGCTACTAGTATATAGACATGTAACTGATTTTAAGTTTTAATCTTATGTCCTACAACCTAGCCAAGTTCACTTACTAGTTCTAGTTGTTAGCCATTTTGTAGATTCTTTAGGATGTTCTACATATACAAACATGACAATGGTGGATAAATACAGTTATAATTTTTCCTTTCTTATTTTTAATTTTTTAAAATTTTATTTTAAATTTCAGTTTAGTGAACATACAGTGTCCTATTAGTTTCAGATGTGAAATACACTGATTCAACAATTCCATACATCATCCAGTGCTCATCAAGACAAGTGCATTCTTTAATCTCCATATCACCTATCTTACCAATCCCCCCACCCACTTCCCCTTGGCAACTATCAGTTTGTCCTCTATGGTGATGAGTCTGTTTCTTGGTTTGTCTCTCTCTTTTCCCCTTTGCTCATTTTGTTTGTTATTTGTCTGTTTCTTAAATTCCACGTATGAGAGAAAGCATATGGTATTTGATTTTCTCTGACTGAGAAAATTCACTTTCCTTTCTAATCTCTCTGCCTTTTATTTCTTTCTCTTATTTTATTGCACTGGCTAGGACCCCCAGTTCAACGTTGAACAGAAGTGTTGAGCAAGATATCTGTCTTGTTCCCAACCTTTGGTGGAACAGCTTCAATATTTCACCATTATGATGCTAGCTAAAGGTGTTTCATAGATGCCCATTATTAGACTGAGAGTTCCCTCTTATTCTTATTTTACTGAGAATTTTTTAAAAAATGTCAGTGGATGTTGAATTTTGTCAAATGAGTAACAAAATTTCTGCAACTATTGAAATGATCAAATGCTTATCATATGTTTGGCTAATACGATAAATTACATTGAAATACACATTTTTGTATGTTAAACCGACCTTATGTTCCTGGAATAAACCAAACTTGGACAGGATATGTTATCTTTTCCACATATTGCTATATATTTGACATGCTAATATTTTGTTAAGGGTTCTTATATCTGTGATCATGAAGGAAATTGGTCTATAATTTCCCTTTCTTATAACATTTTTTTCAGATTTTGTTATCAGGATAATGCTAGCCACATATGTTTTTGTATATTGTATTCATTTTCATTCATCTCAAAGTATTTACAAATTTTTCTTATGATTTCTTCTTTGAATCACTGATTATTTAGGAGTAATTTAATTTCCACATATTTGTGAATTTCCTAAATTTCTTGTTATTTTTTTCTAATTGCAATCCATTGTGGTTGGATAACATACATTATATTATTGTAATCCTCTTACGCTTATTGACACCTGTTTTATGGCCTCCTATAATTGTCTTAGAGAATATTCCATGGGCACTTGAGAAAAATGTGTTTTCTGCTGTTGCTGGATGGAGTGCTCTCTTTATAGATTTCTTAGGTCTAGTTGAGTGTTGTTCAAGGCTTTTCCTTGTTTATATTCTGTTTCATTGTTCTACCACTATTGAAA